ACCACCACCCGCCACCACCCCCCGCCAGCCCCGTTTTTCGTCATTATTATCAAGTCAACGTGACCAACAGCGATAAGGAAGAATTTTTTTTTTAAAGGATAATTACATGCTTCAATCTATGGGAAGACATTTCCTAGAACGTGGAACCCCATGTTTAAATGTACGAGAAATTTAGGTATTCTCTTCTTTTTGATCTTATCTGTACTTTGATATTATTATGTTTTTTTTAATTTGTTTTCCTTTTTTCCTTATACGTATACACATACACGCATTATACGCATACATGTTTATGCATTAATTAAAACACAGGTATGTAGTTTGCGTATTATACAAAATATAATTTTTATTAATGTAAGTATAATATTTTTACGATAATTATCAATATTTCCTCTGGGATTGAGATGCAAATATATTTTCTAATGACAATTTTTTTTTCTCCCCCCCCATATAACCTTTTAATCATCGTTTTAAATTTATCAGCGTAAAAATAGATCAACATACGCTCATTCAATGTTATTATACAATAGTTTATTGTTTCTTTTTTCATTTTCATTATTCTCTTCGACTACAATGTTTTTTATAATTGTACTTTCAAACAAGAGATTATATCATTACGATTGAGTAATTGATTAGATCGATTAAGTAACATTATTCTTAAAATTGATATCAATAATTAATTAATTAATTTATCATATCGCGTATACACATAATTACGGTTTTAATGTAATGATTATATAATAAACTTTACCGCGCATAATAGAGCTTACTATTTTCTCGATTGATTATTATGGAATAAAATTTATTTCGAATTTTTCCTTTTCTTATTAGAAAAAAAAAAAATTAAATTATAAATATGTAATTTATGTTATATTGTGTCCACCACGTCTGATATGAAAAGTAATTCTTCCAACGACAATAACAATAGCTATAAACGAAACGATGAATAAAATATGATAGAATATTAATTAGATTGATTTAGTAGTACACGATAGTATAGATAATGTCTGTCAATATTCAAAGTTATTTGCAAAGATAACATTAATGAATAAGTATTGTATTATCTTTGAACATTCGTATGCTCGTTCAAGAACATGTGATAAGTAAAAAAATAAAAATTCTGCCACTAAAGAAATATAAATCAATTATGTAACAATAAGTTATATAACATAACATAAATACATAATTTGAGAGGATGAAAAATCAGGGACGGCACGAAAAACTATTGTTTTTTTTTTTCGCGAATTAAAAACAATGTTTCATTCTTTTAATATATTATATTTTATTTTTTTGATTTAAAATTTGGACTCAAACGCGACACGAAGAATCTAGCACACAAAAATATAACCGAGCTTGAATATTCGCGATATTATTACCCTTAAAACAATTTACAATTAGTTACAATGTTTTGTTTGTGTAATAATTTAATCTAATATGAAATATTATTATTTAATATTATTACTAAGTTTACTCTTAGGGAGGTTGTTTTTTGGACGGGTTTAATTAAGATGAACACTATATTTATCCGTTGAACGTTTCGTCTCTATTTGAGACTTCCTCAGCAACTAAAATTATTTATTATGACATATTATTTTATATACAAATACCAAA